TGCATAAACTCAGTGAAAACTGGATGTGAAAAATTTACAAATCAGTTTTTATCACACGTCAAAAGAATATTTCATGCAACAACAGCTGAATACATTCCCTGGATCCCCAATGGCTCATAAAACCTTCTCCAAAATAAGACCATATTCTAGGCCACAAGGAATTTCTTCACAAACACACAAAAATTTCCTTGCATCTTCGCAGACCACATACAAATTTATGAAAATTGAAACTTATTCTGATGAATAGTTGATAAAAGGAATCAAGTAAAAAGTTAAAAAAATTCTCAGACTCAAATTGGAGTAGTGATACAATACATCAGAACCTCTGGACATTCAGAAGTCAGTGATAAGCAGAAATTTTATAAGGGCTTACCTAAGAAAATCAGAAAGAAAATCAAATAAACAACGTAATGATGCATCTAAAGGCCCCTGTAAAAGAAAAAACTAATTCCCAAACCAGTATAAGTTGAGAAAATAATTAAAACCAAAATCAATAAAACTGAGAAAAAATAAGCAAAAAATACAAAAAATCAACAATAAAAGAGATGGTTTGTTGAAAAGATAAACAAGATAAGCCCTTAGACAAAAGAAACTTAATAAAAATTAGAATGCAAAGGAGAAATCATCATAGATATCACAGAAATCTAGAGCATTCTGGGACTATTTTGAAAATACATAATAAGTAATACTGATGAATTGGAAAACAGAAGAAATTGATACATTTCTATATGCGTATAACCTGCTAAAACTTAATATAGACACAGGAAAACCTTAACATACCAACAAATTATAATGAGGAGTTATAAAGGAGCAGTAATAAAACTCTTTCAATAAAAACAAGCCTAGGATCAGATGGATTCTCAATTAAATTTTACCAGATCCTAAAAGTTCTATTACAAATACTAATTACATAAAACAAAATTTGGTGACATTTCTAAATTAATTTGATTTTGCCGGTATTATACTCACACCTAAACCAGGTAACTCATCAAGAAAACTTCAGACAACACACACCTCTGATGAACTTAGATGTAAAATTACTTATAAAATATTAGCAAATCATATTCAAAAGCATATTAAGATCATACATCACAACCAAGCTGGTTTTATCATAGATATGCAAGGATGATTTAACCTGCAAATCAACAAATATTACAACAAATCATTACTTAATCGGAATTATGGACAACATGGCTACCCATTGAAGCAAGTAGTAACAGAAACAACCTACCTCAACATCATAAACTCTATATATAAAAAATGCAAAGTCAACCTCATAGTACATGGGGAAAAAAGTAATTTCTTTAAAATCTGGTACAACACAGTATATCCACTATCACCATTCCTATTTGATGTAGTTCTATAAATTCTAGCCAGAGCAATCAGGCAAGAGAAGGAAATAAAAGGAATTAAAAATAGGAAGATAAAAAGTCAAATTATCACTGTTTGCAGATGATTAAAATTCTATACCTAGAAATATCAAAAAAGTTTACCAAAAGACTGTTGGAGCTAATAAAGAAATTCTGCAAAGTAGTAGGCTACAAATCAGCAAACAAAAATTGATAATTTTTGTAAATATCAATAATAAATATTCTGAGAAACAAATTGAGAAAACAATTCCATTCACATAAGTATCAATAATAAATCAACAGATAGTAAAAACCTAGGAATAAATCTAACTTAGGCAGTGAAAGTGCTTTAGAATGGAAACTATAGAACACTAAAGAAAGAAACTAAAGATCTCAGAAGATGGAATGACCTCCCAAGTTCTTGGAGGGGTAAAATTAATATGGCCATATTACTGAAAAGATGGCCATATTACTGAAAGCAATACATAGATAAAAACATAATTCTCCTCCTCCTCCTTCTTCTTTTTTATTGTGTCAGGTATTGAAGCAGTTAGCTTCTTAAAATTGATTTTTAAAAAATGACAGTGAAATTGTGTAACACAATTCTTATCAAAATACCAATGAAACTCTTCATAGAACCATTTTCTAATTCTGCAGTTTTAACATTCATTTGGAACAATAACAGACCCAGAAGAGGCAAAACAATTTTAAGAAAAAAGCAACACTATAGGCATCACAATAGCTGACTTTATATTATACTAGATGTATAGTTGTAAAACCTGCATGCTACTAGATTAAAAAGAGACACACAGACCAATGATACAGACTAGAAAACACAAAACACATTTGTAGTCATCTAGTCTTTGGTAAAGGTGCCAAAAACATACATTGGAGAAAAGACTAACAGTGTGGGAAAACTGATTATCCACATTTTATTAGAATGAAACTAGACCCTATCTCTCATTTGCACAAGAATTAACTCGAAATGGATCAAAGACCTGGGAATTAGATCAGAAACTATGCAACTAGAAGACACTCTGTGGACAAATTCTAATATGTAAGTATAGGCAATAGTTTACAATAGGACTCCTAAAGCTAAGAAAAAAAAATATGACTTTCTGGTAGGAACCCAGATGTGGTATATAAATCCTTGATCCATGGTTAGTAGGGGCCCTGGACCATCCTATGCATTTGTTATGGGATCCTTCCATGAGAATCCATAGGTAGATTGAGGCCCAATGTTTATGGGCTGCTGTGTCTGTAGAAAATTTTGAAATTGGAAGAAAATTTAAAGCAATAAGTTTTTGTTCAAGGTATCACTTAGGGATTGGTATAGTTTCTCCCTGTTTATAGCATTGTCTTTAATTCCTTGTTTGTTCTTTCTGGGAAGCATTGAGTATAAGGGTTGCAGGGGACCCAGTGAAGTGCTGTATATGCAAATCATTGAAATCTGCATGAAATGTTTTGCCAGATAGGCTGGCCCATTGTCAGTTTTAATTGACATGGAAACATCCACAATTCCGAAACATTTAAGTAGATGGGAGAGGGCCTTTTTTTGTGGATTCTCCTGTGAAGGCTGTGGCCATAACATAGCCTGAATAGATATCAATGATTACATGAATTTATTTTAAATTTCCAAAAGGTGCATAATGAGTGACATCCATTTGCCATAAAGCATTAGATTTTAACTCTTGGGGATTCACTCCAGCACGTTGTAAAGGGGCAATGAGGAGAAAGGGTGCACATTCTTTGCAGTCTCTGACCAGCTGTCTGCAAATCTCCTTAGTCCTGCTTTTATGCAATTTCCATGGCTGAGGCCAGCAGAGGCTTTGAGCTGCCTGTGTTCTTATATCCTGAGTGGCCCAAATCTGGTCATCCAGAGTGCCATTGCCTACTGGTACAACTGCTGCTCTATGTTCCAGATCAATACCTTGGCTAAGGCCACCCAGGCTCCTTCATGAGACACCTTTCCGGCCTTGTTTACTCTGTCAATAAACTGTGGCAAGTCTTCAGTGGCTTTCTGCCTTAAGTCTTGTATAGAAACTGTACCTCCCATAGCTGGCAACTTCCTCCAGGCTCTTAGAGCAAAGAGCCTCACCTGAAATAATTCAGTGGCCCTGTAGTTTATACTGAAGGGAAATGTAGATTCCTTTTCCATGCAATCATTCAGGTGGGAGGTTAACATTTGTGGTGTGGTTACAATCTCCATGCTGTTCAAATTCATCATTGAAAAATGCCTTCCACTTCAAAAATGTTGAAGGCTCAAAAGCTGCTCTGGCTAGGTCTTCCCAGTTTTGAGGGCAATTAAGTTCAAGACTGAGTGATTTGAGCATTTGCTCTGCAAATGGCCCCCTGGGCCTATCCTCTTTTATTGCCTTCTTCAACTCTTTCAGGCTATCCAATGTGTGTGGATACCAAGTGGCAGGGCACTGTGGTATTGGGGATATGTTGACTGGGAAGGCTTGAAGTTCCTTACCCCACCTTTCATCCCTTACCTTACAGAGATCTTCAAAAAGATTTCTGATATCCTAGAATGGGTTTTCTGGAAGACTAGGACTTGGGGCCTATCTGGCCTGGTCATTTCTAAGCTGGTATAGTCCCTTGCTGACTTTGATGTTTCCTCATAAGGAGGCATTTGCCATTGACTCAGGGAAGGATATATATAATCTTTGCCTGTCAATAAAAGGCACACTTGTGCCATTTGTGGTCAGCTCATCTACACCACGAAGGCTACCAGTACCACTTTCTGCTTCTGTTGTGGTTGCTTGATTTAAACTAGATTCTAGCTCCAGCTTTCTTGTGTCTACTGTGGTTGCTTGCTTTGAAATAGATTTTCACCCGTTTTTTCCCCCCCTCATCCTTACAGTTTCATCTTCCCTCAGGGCCATCTTATATGACAAGGGTCTTGTTGCAAGACCCTTGTCTTTAAAACTTTCTTGAATAGCTGTCACAATAGGAAAACAATGTAGTGGTAATAGTATATCCCATCTTACTTCAGCTTGCTGCACATTTGCCATTATCTTGTCCCATATTATAGGATCTAAGATATCAGCAGCATCAATCCAAGGTGTTTATTATTATATCCCAGAACTTCTGGGCTTCTCTCTTATTCAGGGTTAAACCTCTAGTATCCAAGACAGTCCATAATACTTGCAGCTCCAAGTCTTCGGTAAAATTCATTAGATTCCCAATTTCCCCTTCCTCACTGCTCTGCGAGGGGCCACACCTGTTTTACCTCAGGTCCTTGATCAGGTGCCTGTTGCATGTCCACAGAATAGGGTAGAGGAGATTATTGCTGCAGAGTTGCTAATCTAGACCTCCAGGGACCAAGTAGGAAGCAGATCTGATTTTATTGCGCAGTTACCATGAATATATACTCAGGCAGTAGTTAAGCAGATTACAGGTAGCCACCAATGCAATTTTTTCTAACTGCCCTTTTTTCTAGCAACCAAGGAGTGGGCTGTAGAGCAAGCACAGGGACAGCAACAAATGGCCTCATGCTGAGGGCTGTGCCTACCAGTCTGCCACTCACTGCTCTTAACATATGCTATGTATGAAGTACTCCATTCACTTGTCCTCTCAAAGAAATGTTGTATAATTTTTAAAAGAATTCTACTATAGGAGTTTTAATTTGCACACCAAATTCATTAATAATGTGAAATCAGATGTAAATTTTAATTAAATTGATAATTTTATATACCTGAAAAATAATTACATAAAAATCAGGGCTTGATGAAATATGACAAGGTAATATGGATGAAAAGATAGCATATTAGTTAGTTCTAGTCATGTATGATTTTTACTTTATATAAAAAAAGTTCACTCGCTTAAAAATAATAGGGAAAAAATTTCCAAAGATGATTATTTCCCAAGACAGAATTACAAAAAATTTTCTTGTTGTGGTTTATGCATTTTATTATCTTAAGTTTTCCGTATCTAAACATGTAACTTTTGATTTTCAGAGAAAAAAATGTATTTTTAAATGAGATCTTTTATACAGGGAGTCAGCCAGACTTATGACTATCTGAGCTCATAGCTCTCTATCCAAATATGTGCAGCCACAATAAGATATATCACAATTTCCAGCAAATAGATTTACTTGAATTTGAGTCTCTGAATAGTATGATCTTTACTATCTGAACACCTACTGCAATGACTCTTGGAACCAGGCCAGCTCTGGCTCTGAGTCCTTCTCAGGTGGCTTCTGCTATTGTGACTAGGGGCCCCTTTTCTTCCTCCACTTTGTGAATTGGGTCTCTCATCACTCTTCGTTATGTATTCTTGAGATTTCTTTGCCATGTGATTACTTCTCCTCTTCCTCTCAGGCTCTCTATTTCTCTTGTAGAAATGATCTGGACTAGGGTTGCTTCTTCTCCTTGTCTTGCCATAGTATTTGCCATAGTAGATGATTCTCTCTTTCTTCTCCAAGTTATTACTAAAGGAGGAATTAGTCCAACCTGGAGACATACAGATGTCTTTATTTGCTTCCCATAATTCATTGTTGGGATTTCTAAACACATGAAGAAAGTTGCAGTGATTTCCTCTTGGACACTGTTGTATTTCAAATAAACCTGTAAACAAATGCACAGTGATAAAACAGCAATTACTATTATATACTTACAAAATAGCATCTTATCCTTTTTAAAGAAAAATTTCACAGATTTGGATATTTTCATGCTTTTTAAAAAGGGGGATTTACATAAATTGAAGTCTTAAGTCTGTTCATCAAACTTGAAACTCAAAATGCTTTAACAAATGACACTCTAAATAATAAAAATTTGGTTTCTCAGAATACTCTATGATTGCCAGTGCAACTGAGTGAACAGTGACTATGTTACATTTTTTTCCCCCAAGGTTATATTATTCAATGATTGACAATATAGATCCCTAATTTTAACACAGAAGAACCAGTGATTGCTATGAGGTAATATGGTCGTGGGACAGAACTACTATTTAAAAGAAATGTTCTATTATAGAAAGAAGAGCCTACATTTTTTAGATTTCAAAAATCAATGCAAAAATTTGTTCTAAATTTAAATTTACCAACAGCATTTAATATGAAAAATATTCTTACCTAAGTCAAATGTATTTGAATAATATTGTTAGGTTTTTCAAAAATTTTAAAAGCACCGAATTTCCCAAATGGTGAAATACCTCTGCACCTGACACTACCTATAGAAACTATCTCAAATGGATCTGATTAAACCTGAGATGAAATTATAAGATTCTAAAAAAGACATATAAGTAAATATTCTTGATGGTGGGTAATAAGCAATCATTTGTTAGACATAATATAAAATCACAAACAAAAAAACAGATATATTAGACTTCATCAAAATTCAAAATTCTATGCTTCAAAGGACACATTTAAGTAACTGAAAAAAAATCTATAGAATGAAACATATTTTTGTAAAAATTTTCTATAAAATAGAAAAAACTCTTTTAACTCAAAACCACAATATACCTATTAAAACATTAGCAAAGGAGACTGGAGGAGGAAGCCCGGTGCCAGCCCAGCCCAGACCAGAGGAGGAAGCCCGGCTCCGCCCCACGTGCTAGTCCGAGGAAACCCATCAAAAGGGGTGTGGCTACCAGCATGGTTCTGTGGCTGATCCAGGTACCCGGTTTCCAAGTCCCCCACCCTTAGCTGCGATAACTCAAAATATTTCCCACAAGCTTTTGGGGATTGTAGCTATCAATGCAAAACAACAACTGTATAGGCACCTGGTTTCCACCTCAGAGACTAGAGTAGGGAAGATACAGGTGGAAGCTCATATCCTTTCACACTGGCTATATCCACCACACTGAACACAGAGGCTCAAGCTAGGAATAGACAACTCCACCTACTGGAAGCAAGGAAAACAGAGTTCTGAGAAACTTTTTTTTTCTCTTTCTCTCTTTTCTTCTCTTTCACAACCTCAACATATGTGAAACCAAGAACTGTGCATGAACAACCGAATCACCAAAATAATATAATATAGAGGAAATGCATATACCCCATCTTCCCCCAATTTTTTTCTTTTTTTCTATCGAATTTTCTTTTTCCTTCTCTCTTATTTCTCTTTTCTTCCTTGCTATTTTTTTCTTCTCTTCATTCGTATTCCCTCTATCCCACTTTCAACCTCCTAACTTTTACTATCTATACATAGGGTAACTATCTAAATACAGATAGGAGGTTGAGTCTATACATTCTTCCATAAATTACCAGTCTATTGGTTAGAGTTCTCCAAAATTGCTAAGTTAGTTTAACCTCATACCCTCACTCCTTTCCCTCTAAGTATAACATCCTTCGTCTGAAATTAAGTTTTCTATATGCCACCAGGTATGGTATGCCTTATATGAAACTAAGAAGAGCATACTACAGGGACACAGCCACATCAATGTTTATAGCCACACATTTCACAACAGCTAGAATGTGGAACCAACCTAGATGCCCTTCAATAGATGAATGGATTAATAAAATGTGGCATTTATACACAATGGAATATTACTCAGCACTAAAAAATAATAAAATCATGGCATTTGCAGGCAAATGGATGGCATTAGAGCAGATTATGCTAAGTGAAGTTAGCCACCACCTAAAAAACAAATGCCGAATGTGTTCTCTGATATAGGGGGGTGACTCAAAATGGAATAGGGAGGAAGGCATGAGAAGAAGACTACCACTAAATAGAGAAGAGAGGTGGGAGGGGAAAAAGAGGGAGAAGGGGAGTTGCACAGAAGATGGAAGGAGAACCTCATTGTTATACAGAATACATATATGATGTTGTAATGAGAAAAAGAAAAAGTGTGTCACTTTAGATTGGATAGAGAGAAAGGATGGGAGAGGAGGGGAGGAGTAGGGAGGATAGGAAGGGCAGCAGAATAGACAATATGATTGATGTATGTACATTTCATGTATGTATTATATGTCAAATTACATTCTACTGTCATGTATGACTAAAAAAAATAAAAATTAAAAAAACAAAACAAAACAAAAATTAGCAAAGAACTTGAACACATATTTCTCCAAAAATATGGAAATAGCCAAATATGCCCAAGAAAGGTGTTCAACATCATTGGTCACTAGGAAAATGCAAATTGAGATATCACAAGTGCACTGAGACAACCATGGAAAACTAGAATTCTGGTAGAAGTATAAAATGATTAAGCAGTTCTGGAAAGCAGCTTGGCAATTTTTCCAAAGGTTGAACACTGAGTTACCACATGACCCACTTTTAGGAATATATTCAATAAAATTGAAATATACATATTCATATAAAAGCTTGTACATGATTTGTTTTAGAAGCATTACATGTAACAAAGAGGAAAACAATCAAAACATTCAATTGACAAACGGATAAACAAAATGTTAATCCAAACAATGTAACATAATTCTTAAGAAGGAATGAGTACTGATACATGCTGCAAAATAGATGAAACTTGATTAAAAAAAACACAAATGAAAGATGCTATAAAAAAAAATTATATCACTCAGTTGATATGAAGTGTTCACCAAAGTATATCACAGGGATACTTTGTGAATTAGTGATTGCTTGTTGAGAGCCACAGCTGAAGGGGCCCCAGCAAACTTCCAGCTGCCAGTAAATTTCCAGCAAACTTCCAGCTGCCAGATGATGATTGGCTCACAGCAGCCCCAGCAACTTCCAGCTGATTGGCTCCTCTGCGGTGATGCTCATTGGCCTATTTTTCCCGCCCTTTCAGACTACCAGTCTGAGGAGCCAATCAGCTAGAAGTTGCTGGGGCTGCTGTGAGCCAATCATCATCTGGCAGCTGGAAGTTTGCTGGGGCCCCTTCGGCTTTGGCTCTCAATAGTTGCTGAGGTATGTGAGTGGGTGGACAATAAAGAGTAATTGAAAATAGATATAGATAAAAATATTTAAAAATAGAGTGATGCTACCCAACACTAGCTTACACAACTCTGTAATTCAAAGCTCTAAGACTTAACACATTTAAAAAGTGTTTAAATGATTTATCACTAAAAAGCAGTTTATAAATAAAAAGTGAGGTGGGGGTTGTGGCTTAGCAGAAGAATGCTTGCTTAGCACATGTGAGGCACTGGGTTTGATCCTCAGCACCACATAAAAATGAATAAATAAATTAAATAAAAGTATTGTGTCCATCATCAACTAAAAAAAAAAATTTAAAAAAGTGAAATAATCTCATTTGAGGGAGTCAAAGTAACAACCAAAAAGCTTCTTGATGATATCACATGGAACTAATAACTGACAAAAGATGGAATAAAACAGATCTTTTCCGTTCAACCCCAAGTCTTTAAACTTAAATTGAAATGGTTTCTTAAGGTTTTCCTGTTAAAATTTTCCTCCTTTCCCTTTAAAAAAATGCTTTTAAAATGGCAATATCTATTAAGACAAGATGATAAACCCCAGGTATGATTCAGATTTTAAGAAGAGGAGCATAAAGCAAAGAAACAAAAGAGAAATTTTAGAGAAGATCCCCTAAGACATTCAGAGCTTCATCTCTTCCCATCATGGGTATGGCCTGACAGAAATTTAAAAATCAGAACATCAAAACTGCTGGATGCTATAAGCAAAGAATTGTTTCATTTTATGATGTGGCTGCCATTGTTTGATGAGTCAGTGTTGACTGGGGTAGAAATGTTACTACTCTTTCATGTCTGTAGTAATGAAAGAATACATACTAAGGATAAGGTGGTTATGGGAAAAATAAAAACAAAAACAGCCCAAGTAGTGGGAGCCTTTAGAACTATAATAATGTGGCTTGCTGGGCTTTCTGAAATATAGCACTAAGAGCTAGGTATAAGAATGACAGCCATGGTCCATCATCAATACACTGGCCTCAGTCACTTCTTACATAAAATGATACACAAGATCTAATATAGGTTAAAAAAAAGTGATGACTTTTATATGATTTCTGCTTATAGTGAAGCCAAAGCTATGTATAATTAATTTGGAATTTAAAAAAAAACCTCATTAAAAAATTTGGTTTTTGTCCCTAAGAAAACTAGTGGAACAAATTAGGAAAAAGTCATGATGTTATAATTTATCACATATCACCATTTTCCACCTTTCTACAACAGTGAAACAAATTAGAAAAAAAATCATCATGTTGTGTTTTACCACAAATCGCCGTTTTCCACTGGGTCACTGGGCAGAATTCGCACTGAAGCTGTCTTCCTGCATACCATCGTCCATTAAACAGAGATAGGGCTGCTTGGCATTCTTCTTCTCTTTGAAGCAAAAAAATAAAAAATAAAAATTAAAAAAATTAAAAAATGCACCTTAATGTTCTAAGATATAAACTAATTTTCTTACTAATTATTTTATTAATTTATTTTAAGCCAATGATTTTTGCACAATGTAGGAAATTCTGTTAGAGCACTAAAGCTGTTATATGCAACACTGACTTAGTGATCCTTTTCATCTAATTCTGCATAAATTCCAGCATCAAACAGGTTTATGAATGAAAACTTTCTTTTTAGTAAAAAAATAGTCAACAAACAAAACTACAGACGTGTGTTTTAAATTGTTAGAACTTTCACTTCTCAGGATTACTATTCTTATCAAGTGGCCAAGAAATGTGTTTGCCATTGAGTGGTATAGAATAACTAGAATACAGAATATAGAAGTACAAGTTAAAAGCAATAATACATAATTGTCCTCTTATCTGATCAAATAAACACTAACACTTATTTTAAGCTTTAATCTCTTTTAACTCATACTTCTATATTCTGTATTCTAGTTACCTTTGATCAGCTCTGTATTTTGATTTTTAAAATTATATAAATAATAATTGAATGATGAATTAGATTTAAAGCTATTTAAATATATAAAAAAATGAAATACATCTTTCTATCAACTCTTGATATTTGCATTTGAAAAAACGGTGCTTAAGAAAGTCATATATCCAATAAAAAATTCCAAAAGTTAACAAAAATAGATATAACAGTACCTTGAGAAAACAAAGAAATTTATGCTCAGCATACTTACAATTGATATTGAACATACACATTTCCCCTCAGATGAGGCTCCAAATTGCAGCTGACCTAAGAAGTAATGTGAAATATTCCATCATTAAAAACTAAGGAAAATAAACTATAAATTTATCAAATGCACTTTTTCCAGACTAACATTCCACAAGGTACTTATCAATTAAAAATTATAAAAGATATCACATACCTCAAATGTTAACATTTGTCACACATTACTGTACAGTAGAACTACAGACCCACCTGCCTGATCTTTGTTTACTGCATTAATTTTTAAATAAAATTTAATGTTTCACATACACAGTGAATACAAATAAATTCATATGCATGCCATCAGATTTATCATCAACATTTTTCATTTTGAGGTAAGAGTTACCTTCAATTCCAAACACAAACACACATACATATGTAAACATACATGTAACTAGATAAGACACAAATACATTCATGCACACTGAAATAGGCATAAATTATACATTATATATAAATTATACATTGTATAAGCTATATATATCTATATATCTGTATATTTATAATGTGTAAGTATAATAACTCCTTAATATATAGTATTATTTATATATCTTAAGATTTTACTAATGGTATTTACATTCTTTTCAAAAGAATTTTACCTAGTTTCTAGTGGATGAATCAAATTATCAATATATATTATTTTCTCTTCTAATATGCACTCAGTTTTTTCCCACCCTAATGAATAAACAGTGCTGTGAGAAAAAGGGCCCAATATTAATTTTCCATGGCTAATTTTTCCAATTAAAAATTTATTAAATATAGACTTCAATTTATAGCTGTCAATCTCTACACATTTAGCAAATAACACTAAAGAGCTCATAGGATTCTAACCAAAAGAAAAAATACAAAATAGTATTGGACAAAACTGCAAATTTTAATCAAGCCTAAGCTTTGAAAGTACCAGTAATACCACTCTGAAGAACCAGGATACCTGAAGGACACTATTGATGTAATCTTTCTGGATAAGAAATAGATAGAAATGACATTTGACAGCATAGGATAGTCAATTCAGTGGTATTATGTTTTGTATGATTAGACCCTTCTAGTGTGGTTTTTATTTGTGCTTAGAAGCAGCATTAAGGCAGGCAGATATGAGAGAACAAAAGATTAGGAGAAAAGAATAACTTCATATAAAAGAAGTTTTAAACTTCTTAAAATCAGTAGAACGGACTTGAATGTAAGAGTTTCTTAAAAACTGAATTATCAGTTCCTGTTTTGATTATTTCAAATTTCTATAGTCATTTCCAAATAGCAGAAAAAATATTTTATAGCTTTAGTTCTTTTTTTTCCCAATTAAGTGACACTTTCTTCCTTTCCTAATATAAAATCAATTACGTTCAGATCTGACCAAATCCTAGACAAGCTTAAGAAGTTTAACTATCTTTTTTTTTTTTTTTTTGTATAGGGATTGAACTCAGGGCCTTGTGCATGTGAGGCAAGCACTCTAGCTATATCCCCAGCCCCAAGAGGTTTGACCATCTTAAGATTCAAATAATGGTTCCTAGAGAAACAGGTATTTGATATGGCTTAACCTAGCTTTAGACATCATTTTAAAACAGTCATATGTAATTTAGATATCTCCCTTTTAGCAAGTATCACAAGCCAGGATAATTTTGAGACACTGTGTTCAATATGGAAGATAAATAAAAGAAAAATAAGATTATGTTCTTTTTTGGTTCTACAAGAAAGACATGCACTTTGGGTAGGACTAGTAGGCATACATTATCAACTTGAACTAACAAACTGAGTAGAGTCACAATACAAATATCAAAGCTGTAGGTGAGGCACCTACAGAAGAAGAAAGGAAGCTCCCTGTCATGTACAGTATCTAAGACTTGAATGACTATGTGCAGAAGACCTGTTGAAGATAATTCAAAAGCTGAGAGATGAAGCACAAAGGTCTTAAATAAATGAAAGGTCATTTCCAATCCAGACCTTAACATTTAGGAAGATGGTAATATACATTTGTGATTTCATGTACTTATACATTATAAGCTAGAATGGAGGAAGAAAAGAAGAAAGAAGTAATACTTACTGAGTACCTGAGTGCCGACACTTGGCTAGGCACATATTAGCACATAGCTAGCTATACCCAGTTAAACAGCACCCAGCTCCCTGTGCACTGAGTTACTTTAGGGTGAGGCATATGAATCCACTCCATGCATATGCCCACCTTGAACTGGATCACTTTTCCCACATTCTTGAACTCAGGAAGCACGTCATCATAGAAGTCAAGAAACTGCTGGTATGTTTCCTCTTCACTGTACTCCAGACTTGCATCAGGGTCATAGTCATCCCTACTACACTGTTCCATTTCAAATGTTGTAAACATGCTTTTAATAAGAAGGGTGGAACTTGTTGCAGGGTAGTTATGTTTACGTGAGCATCTGCATATGAACAAAAACCTAATTCACTAGTCCAGTATTTAAAAATCACACACAAACTTGCATTACATTTTGAGATAAAAATTCAAATAATTCGGCTCTTCTGATCTTACAATAACTATGCTCAGATGCCAAATTTCAACACTTTATTCTAGTCAAAATGACAAGTTGGCAATGAAAACTAAGTTCATTTATTATTCAGTTATCACTGAATGAAGTTCAGCAAGTTTTATATATGTTGAAGCACAGGGAGAAAAAAATACATTTTATTACCTGATTGTGGAGACATGTATTGGGCTCTTGGGAAGAAACTGAGAACTAATAATACAATCCTGATTCTATGCAATGTTCAATTAACTTACATACTTAGAAGATAATCTAGAAAACACTTGGTATTTTAATCTTATATTCAATATTTAATAGTTATGGTGAATTTTTACATTTCTTTTCCTCTGATATTTCTGAGATGTTAGGACAGTTTGGGTGTTAATACTTATCCCACTTTGAAAGAAGAAAGGTAAGGCCTTGAAATGCATAACTAACCAAGAATTAGGGGAAGAGACAGATTTTAAGAGACTGAACTTAATATACAACACAGGGTATAAAACACATTTTGAATTTAATAAGAATAGCTAAACATTATGAAGAACAGTTTTTATAATTTCAGTTGTATCTAGTCTGAGCTAATTCAGCTATGCTGAGATTAAAATTATTCATGACATGAGCTTATTTTAAAAATATGTTTCTCTTCCTAAAATAAAATGAGGAAAAAAAAGTAGTTTAAACTTCCAAGAAAATAAAAAATTTCTGGTTAGTCTTCTAGTTAAACGTTGCAGGACAAGATGAGGAGGGATAGAGAATTGTTAAATGGGTGCAGAGTTTTGGTTTTCTGATATAAATCAGCTTGAAATATTAGTTGCCCAATTATATGACTATATTTACTACTGAGCTAAATACTTAAAAAATAGTTAAGACAGAATATTTTATGTTATGTGCTTTTCTTCCTTGATTAAAATTATAATAAAATCACAATTTGAACAGACCAATATCAATGGATGAAATTGAAGAAGCAATCAAAAGACTACCAAGCAAGAAAAGCCCAGGACC